TTTCGGGTTATTCAAATATTTTTAAGAGCCCTCGTATCACTACTCGTTGTTGAGGAAGTAACGTTTGGGTTTACCAAAAAAATTGTGTAACGAGCAGCAGTAGCAATAATTTAGCAAATTTTTGAACGAAATGTCACACAATTGAAGTTTATTGAATTTATTTTACCAAGCAGTTCAACCAGCGCCCACGCCATGAAAACAGTTCCACTTTTGGTAGTCAATCAATATTTGCCTCATTTCTGTTTTTTTATTCGCATAACGGCTCAATAGAGTTGGGCGCTCCACTTAAGGAGTGGGTCAGGCCGAGCTGCAACAACGCTACGATCAGCATGATACAGAAACATACATACGCATATGGATTTGTGTATACCCACTTCAATTGACACTCCAAATCAAATGCTTAAATCTATACACATAAATTCAAAGTATGTAAACATTGGCATACAGATCGCTTTTTGTTACGGATAGAGCATACGCAGTGGCACACCCCAACCAAAAAGAAAAACAAAAACCGAACTACTCATATGTGCATTTATGTGTGTGCGTATATACATACATGTGTGAAGTATGCACCCACTTGCGTTTGAACAATTTGCCGGCGTTTTTATGACCCAAAAATTTTTATTTTTCACTCTTTTGATATTGTGTCCGCTTTAGACAGACAATTTGTTGCATTCATTGATTGCTTTGCCTTTACTTTTTGATCAAATATTTTTCTAAGTTTTTATTTTATAATTCTCCGTTTACTAGTTTGCTTGTCTATGTCATTAGTCACATATGTGTGTGTGTTTGGTTAATAAAACTAATTTATAGTATTTGTCTACCGCTGAGCAGCATTTTTATCTGCATATATGAGTGTTAGTACTTGTATACAAGTATATATACATATATACTTATGTGCAGTCGAACAAACACACAACACTTCGATACAGATACACTTATACCCGTCCAGGCCTTGTCCAGAAATGCAATCGCTTTTGAGGCTTGTGATTTCTTATCTGTCAAAATCTGAGACAAGCTTATGTTTACTTTATGACATGATATATTATTTGTTGCGGTTAATATGTCTGAAGTTTTCGGCCCAGCAGTCATTCTCCTGCTTAAATTATTAGATATATACACTGATTTTGGGGCAGTTATATCAAATTTTCATAAATTAAAATATAAATTTTGTTTTAAATATGTTCAAATCAAGCACTTTTCGAAAACTGGCGAACCTTATTTAGATCTTTAGAAGCGTTTAAAGTACTAATATCAAATAAATGTATACAAATTCCGCCTGCATGCCTGAAACTGCGATCGAATCCAAATCGTGCGTAACTCTGTTTTGTTTAGCCTCAAAAGTAATCGCAATCTTCTTATGTCCACCAACTTCTTGAAGAATATTCTTCAAATTATTTATTTTCGCATTGTAAAGATTCTATTCTTGTAGTTTACTCTTTTCTGACATATCATTCTCTAAATCCCATACTTACTGCAGAAATCACTGAGGCTATTGTTAGTAATCAATAAGCTTTTCAATTAACAAAATCCATTTAACAAAATCTCTTAAAATCTCTAAAGCAGATTACACATAAGTTTATATATGCATATATCTCCACGTATCGGTTAAATCCCACTGTTCTCTCTAATAGAAAAACAATCGCTATGCGTCACTCCGCATTCCAACACGCAATGCATGCAGCTGCTTCTTTTTATATTATTACCAGTTTATACTACAATATTTAAGTAATCAAATACTTTTCACTAAACTGTAATTTCCTTTCTCAACGCTCGAAGCTAAAGTCCAAGACGGTGCAATGGCCACAGACAACTTTTATATGATTCTTATCACTTCATCATCGCACGCTTTTAAATAGCAATTAAGATTCCACACAAACACACACATACCTCATATAATTGCATCTGTGTAGTTGAGTCTGGCGTTTGACGCTGTAATATAATATTTAATGTGCAGATATTCCATAACGATTTGTTATACGGAAATCTTTTACCAACCGCACATTTGTAAAAGTATTGACTTACTATGATTTCTTCTAGTATTGTTTTGCAATGCAGAGGAGGCTTACTTCTATATCTTCTGCCACGAACAACGTTTACGGGCCCATGTTTTACATGTTTTTTCAACCCAAAAATTTTCCAAAAGGTTATTGTTATCGACAGTTTTTCGACACCAGATATTAGGAAAGTCATTTTTTACACAAAGTGAGTAAATGTTGAATTGTAAGAAAGCGTTTTTCGTTACCAACTTGTTATATTGAAAGGACCTCTCAGAGTCGTTTGTTATCATACGCTACCTCAATTATAAAGGTTTTAGAAAAAATTGCTCTGGCAGTAGAAAAAAAAGTGCGAGCAATGCTGCTGACGGTTCTTATATTTTAGCTTTGCTTTTTTTACAAATTGTTAAAACAACAGCAAACTTATCGGGATTGTGTTTAAGACCGGAGAGGTGTGGTGTCAATAATGTGTTTATATTTATTTTTTTCATTATTTGTTCAGTATTTCAGTTATTTGTTCTATTCGCCCCTCTTCAGAGTTTTTTGAGTTGAAAACAGTTTTTTAAATGTTACTGCACTTGAATAAGCTTACCATGAGTTTGTAACACCCAGAAGAAAAGGTCGCTTTTGAGATATCGATTTGAATTTATCGAAAACTTTTTTATTTTTTTTACTTTGCGAAATTTGTTATGGATTATTGTCCAAGACAACGATAACATCTCCAAACAGATTGTTTATATCGGAACAAAATAGCATATAGCTGCCATAGAGACTAACCGATCAAAATCAAGTTCTTGTATGAAGACTTGTTTATGTGTGAAGGGTATTATAGCTTGGCTGCAACCGAAGTTAACGCTTTTTCTTGTTTTATTTCAATTATCCGCATGTGTCTTCATTTAATAAATCCCTCTACCTCCTACCTTTCATACAATAGGATAAACCTCGTTTGAAGTTATCATAGTGGAAAATTAGAGAAAATTCTGAGAAAAATATATTTGAAAATTTTAAATACTCCGTTAGAGGAAACGAAGATAAACAGCCAGTGTCTAAAAGCTTTTATGTAGTTACACACATGCATACATTTTGTAATTATTTTTTATTATATACAGCTCAATTAAATTGCAAAATTAACTAAATGTACAAACATTTACACTTATAATGAAACTATGAAGACACGTTACAACAAACATATGTAGCAAATATATGTTATGTACGTACATACGTTATGCTATAAGTGAAATTAATTTACATGAAACCATATAAGACTGCTTTAACGATCATTCCTGAACTTTTAATCGGAATAGACTCACGCGTTCTAATGAATGAAACTCAAGCCAAGATTCCAAATAAAAAATGTTTTTCATTTAACAAAATTAAATAATTTGTGGTACCACATTTCAAGTTATTTACACAGATGTTTACTATACATTCATATCACGCAAAGCCTTAAGTCTATGCTAATACTGGCTATAGTATTTTTTGCACTCTTCGAAGTCAGTCGTACCCGGTTATTCGTTTAATGACGTCATTCCATTGTCAATTTGTAATTATTTGATTATTGTTGCTTAAAAATGACTAACATTTGCTTCGAGAAATTCGTATTTAATAATTTTATAGTTAAAAAATTAAACGTGTTAGAATAATATACATTTCTTTGTTTGTGCTTACACATTTGTAAATGAGCCTCATTGCAAATACTTATTTGAATTTGCGTTTGAAAAGTATGCACAATTTATTGAAGCAAACAGTTTAATATTTTGCACAAAATTTATAATTAGTATTGAACGATATCATGTCAGGAACTCAAAACTCTCTTAAGGAAACTCATTATTAAATGATTTCGAGACTTTTTAAGAAAACTAAAGAAATTAACCGGTACTTATAGAAAATTATATGTACTAAGTAGTCTATAGCAGTCCAAGTCAGTTTATTCGTGGCTTCACGATTAATCAGCTTATTTACCTAACCTAACCTAAGTATTACTCTGATTCCTGTACTTTGAATCAATTCAAAATACGCAACACCAAATTAAATTATTGTGTCGCGTCTAATCACACATACTTAATTCAACTCTTTATAAAAAAATAAATTTCATTTAAGCAATTTTCTAAACAGCATTAACGAATGGCATGTTAATTGTTTTAATTAGCAATAAAAATATATGCCTCCATTCGACCTACAACGTTGTATGAATCAATAAAATTATATCCTCAGCCATAACACGACAGCATGTTGCACAACCCACAGCTTCCTGTGACAATGACAAGCACACAGCAGCTAAAAGGGGCGTGTCAGCGCTGGCACAACTTGGCTGGCACGGCGTTGCAACATAAATTTAATCAATGTTCAACGGCAATCATCACGCGCTGAAAGCCAATACGATCGAGGAGAGACTAAATAAAAGTACGTGGAAGTGAAGAAAGAACTTGTGAATGTATTTAAAAATAAATCGCATGCATTGAAAACTTAACGAATCGTTTTAAACAAGTCATGCAAGTATGCATATGAAATGCCCAGTAGCCGGCAGTTTAAACTTGCAACTCTCAACCACAGACGTTGTTGGAACAAAATGTATGAAGTCGCAGACATCACCAATACCGCAGACGTTCTTCTCAAAAAATATGTATATATGAAGATATGAATTATATTTAGTATAAGTATGCTTGTTATACCCTGAATAGGGTATATAAAGTTTGCCTAAAGAAAACGTCAGAGATTACTACATACTATAAAGTATATTTATATAAGGGATCAGCGTGGCGAGCTGAGTCGATTTAGCCATGTCCGTATATATATACGCGAATTAGTACTTAAATTTCTGAGATATCGAGCAGAAATTTTGCCCACGTGCTTTTCTGGCAGATAAGCTGCTCATTTTTTGGTACCGCTCATATCGGATGACAAGCATATAGATGCCATCTAAACTGAACAATCAGAATCAAGTGCTTGCATGGAAACATTTTTATTTGACGGAATATCTTCAAGAAATTTAGCATGGATTATTGTCTTCGAAGAAATTGTTCAAATCGGACCACTATAGCATATAGCTGCCACATAAACTGAACGGTCGGAATCAGTGCTTTATGGAAAGCTTTTTCATGGTGTAAAGGCATACTCCAACAGTCCTCAAGCTAACTTAAACAAACACGTATACCTATGTTCGTGTATTCAGTGCCCCAGTCATCACTCTTTAGCCACTATATGTTTAGTGCACATTCATATGTCCACAGCTGTATATGCCTCAAATGGTCGCACAGACATTTTGCAGACAACAGTCATAGTCATTGATATTATTTCGTAGGCGATTCACAATTTGCCGCAAACATTCGTATTTACTATATTTATACATAGGTACATATAATGCGGGTAACATGTTGCAGCTGTCTTCGCGACTGCAACTGGTGACGTTTAACATTTGAGCATGTGAAGCATGACGTTGATTTTCCGCAAGGCAATAAATAAACAGGGCAAAAAATTGCCGTTCTGTTGGGCTTTGCAATTTAAAATTTGTTTTGACCATTGATCACCTTGGCAACATGTCTGTTCGCCAACTACCTCCACTATTTCTCAAGGACATTTGCTGGTGAGGCGGTTTTTGCGCACGTTGCACAGTGGTTTGGCTTGGCTGAAAAAATAAATAAATATATATATATATGTATTAAGTTCCCAATGTAAAAATAAAATTCCTTTAAAAATATTTTTTTTATAAAATGTATTAATTCCTTTAAGAATTATCAGCCAATATATACAATTGTTGACGATCATTCCAACAAATGGCTTAAATTAGAACTAGCCAATAAGAGATTCTTGAGATATATACACATATTTACTTAACCAATGTCTCTATTTATTTGTTACTGTCTCCCTTTTTGTTACTCTCTATTACAATTATTCAATAATTAAATATGTTACTATGTCAAAGAATACTAAAATGACACAGCTCTTATTACAGTTCGCTTCGATTCGCCACACCGTGGTGACTAGCGTATCAAAGATTCATCTCATACGACTTGAAATTAAAAGATTTGTGCATCTGTAGAAGCACACAAGCACTGTCAAGTCTCTTCTTCATATACATATAGTAACATAATAACTTTTCGTCAAGCTGTAATAGTATCATATCAAGAGTGTAATCTTTTACAGATTTCAACTTACATACGTACATACTTACACTTTTTATGGTATATTGGGATATAAGAAAGAAAAGCGCCTATAACAACAGCTTCTTTTGAAACTGGTTTCGTATTTAAAGCTTTATTGGCATATGCTTTCGTTGTTTTGTGATTCCGTCATCAAATTATTCCTTTTTTTTCCTTTAAGCCATCAACATCACTACAGCTTTGAGTGATGTGAGATTGTATCTTATATTTAGCAAGATTGACGCAAATTGTTGTCGATGTAATTGCAGTGGCAACATTCTGAAGCAGTAATTTGTTGTGGCACAAAAGTACACGCTCTCAGGCTATTTATTTCTGGACTGCTTACTTGGATAAACTTGTTCACGTAGTTTAACAGCTGTAATGAGCGTGCGTACAACAGTGCTTCGTAGAATTTAAAATATTTTTGTTTTTCGAAAAATTAAAAATATTTATGTAAATATTAAACGTCGTTGATATCATTTCATTTAGAGATTATTTCTGAGTATCGAGCATAATTTCTTTCAATAGTGTCATGGTTCCGAAAATTTTCGTGTATAAGTCAACCTTCCTACGAATAGCTTTCATTAACCAAATATTTCTAGTAAATGTGATTGAAATTGTAAACATTTTGCAAAATTACTACAAAAGTGAATGAAAATCTTAAGAAAACCATAAAAATTTTAAGAACTCAAAACTTATTTACCTTTTTTAATATTGAGAAACCACGCATTTTTTCCACATTTCTTTACGAAAGTGTCTTAAACACAGCAAAAATGTTTCATATGTTCTTGACCCATTTCAATATAAAAATATGAATATCACATAAATAAGCACGTACCGCCACTTCTTATTCACACTTTCATTGCAACTATTACTCATTAAAAGGCGCACATTCACAATTTTTACAATGTAAATATTTTTCCATTCAATTTTTTTATATTTTTGTAGCGTTCAATATATAAATGGCGCAAATTCTTGGGATATTTTGAAAATTTTTAACTCCTAACCTATACATTTTTTTTCTTTATATTACGAGTATATCAGAATAAAACAAATATAAAAATAAACACACTCGTATGTACGCGTTCTTCAGATATGTACATACATATCTATAAATAAATATATATTTTATTGTGTACATTGTACCTTTTTTTGTATGTAGATGTTATGTTATCTGAACCGATTCCAAATAAGTTTAATAAAATAAACGTTTTCTGCACCTGTAAACTGGTGAGATATTTACGGTTAACAGTTTTAAGAAAATGACTCATATTTGAATTAATTTTTTTTTTGATTTTTAGTCTTATCAAATTCAATTGAGTCTAGCTGTTTCCACATTTTCGTTTTAGTTTTTTTAGAAGAAAAATCAAGTTGTTGCCATACATAATTAATGAAAGAAAATTAATTCAGTCATATTTCTAAAATGAACCCATAGTGTTAAAATTCGCCGACTATCATTAGTTTTTTTAGTTTTTTTAGAAGAAAAATCAAGTTGTTGCCATACATAATCAATGAAAGAAAACTAATTCAGTCATATTTCTAAAATGAGCCCATAGTGTTAAAATTCGCCGACTATCATTAGTTTATAGGGAAGTGGGACACCAACAACATCGCAGGCGTTGAAAAAAGTCTACAAATTTTAAACGATTTGGATTTTTATTTGTTATAATTTCTAAATATTAAATAATATTTACAAAACAGTACTTGTATGTTTTCTTCATACACGTAAGCTAATTACTTATTCGATTAAGAAAATTACGCTGGAAAGTGTTGCTTATAACCCGCATACTCGCCTCTTATTAATATCACATTTAAGCATGAAATATGGGAGAAATTTAATTCTAGCACTAGCCCAGAATAATCTACATAGACAATAGATAAATACGATTTACTGTCGTTCAGTTTTCATAAAATAAAAACGGGTGTTGTTTTACTGCTGCCACACATAAATGAGACTTACTACAAAAAATATTGTAATTTCAAAGTCTTTCGAATTCAATAAGGCTCAGACTATGTCTGGTATTTGGAGACGAGCTAAAAAATTATTTAATAATAATTATACCAATTACTACAGTAAGTTGTTAAGAGTAAATGAAAATATGCAGTGAGAGGATTGACATAGTCTGCCGACAAGTAGCTACTTTTAGAGAAACTTCCAAACTTCGGAAAAGTGGAAAAAGTGCAGAAGAGATTTGCAAAGATTTTTGTAAATTAAACTGCATTTATATATTAAAATGCGAAAAAAGCTTATAATAACAAAAAGTAATTATCTACGTTTAATTGTTTTCATAAAATTTTAATTTCTTGTTGTTTTTTGTTGTTGTACTGCTATTAAGGTGCGCCGCTACCGCATGCAAATAGAATGTTAAGCTTTTATCTATTTGCTCTATTGTTGGTTTTCATATTTGTACACTTATACATACATATGTATGTACATAAATGACCTTTTTATACCCTGAACAGGGTATATTAAGTTTGCCACGAAGTTTGTAACACTCGGTAGGAATCAGCATGAGGAGCTTAGCTGATTTAGCCATGCCCGTCTGTCTGTATATATAAACTAGTCCCTCAGTTTTTAAGTTATCGTTCTGAAATTTTGCACCTGTCATTTTCTCACTAAGAAGCTGCTCATTTGTCAGAACGTCTGAAATCGGACCACTATAGCATATAGTTGCGATACTAACTGAACCATCGAAATCAATTACTTGTATGGGAAACTTTTTTATTTGACGAGGTAACTTAACGAAATTTGGTACGAGTTATTTCCTAAGGCAACAAGGTCATCTCCGAAGAAATTGTTTAGATCTGATCGCTATATCGTATAGCTGCCATACAAATTGAACGATCGGAATCAAGTTCTTGTAAGGAGCCTTTGCATTTGTGAAGGGTATATTAACGTTTTTTCTTGTTTCTTGTTTATTATATGTATTAATTAAATTATATAAGTTCTTATCTCTTTAGTTATGCGATGTGTGTGTAAATTGTTAGATACGCATGTATGGAAGTGTATGCAGAGAAAACAAGTGTATGGCCTTAAACTCTACATTAACTTTCTTTTTTGCATAGTTATACACATATATGTATGTATGTATATACTAATTCTTACTGTTACAGGTGTATATATGTGTGTGTTCGTATGCAAAGTTGTTTTTATTGCACCCAAAAGGTTTCATATCTAGCAACTACAACTAATGACTAGCTTATTTGTAGCTACACAGGTACACATATACTATATAGGTATATGCACATAAAAAAATTAGATTATATATTACTTTTAACTTTTGCTGTGGAGCTTTTCTTGCGTCACGAATTCCTTCCATTTGGGGTTTCAAGCTTTACCTATCAAACAGCATAGTGCAAACATTTTTGGTTAAGAACATTTTATTGATGACTTTCTCGGAATATGCATTCATTGAGTGTTGGACTTTAATAGCACTGGTTTCATAAACGAATTTGTTGCGGTACCGCAAGTGCTAGTCGCAGATAAATATACTTAGTATACATGTATTTATTTATACTTGAATACTTTGCTAAATCACATTTGTGGTTTGAGGTTTTGTCACCAAGTTTATGAAATTTTTTAAAAATATTTTTTAAGATATGTTATGCATATGCAAGAATTTTTAAAACATTATCTAATTTTAAGATTTTTATTGCAATACTTTATGTTAAAGCGGAAATAAGGATTGCGATGCAATCTCGTACTTGGTTAACATAAATGAATTACATAAAAAAACAAACATTTTATAGATATGAATGCAAACATACAAACATATTATTTATATACATATATACGATTACTTTGGGTAAGGTTTTTACTGAAACTTAAATTTTTTTTTATTTCAACTTAAATAAGGCTTCAGTGGAAGTTTTCAGTGGAAGTTTTGCCAACAAACGTTTTGCCGCAAACGTCTGCCATCGAAATTTTATTAAAATATCAAATTTTACATTATATTTATACAATATTTTAGTTTTATTAGTACGAAAATTCTATGGTATTTCAAAATAAATGAAAACCACACTAGACAGTAATTATACCGAATCTTAGAAAGCCAATCTCTTTAGGATGGTTCGCCCTCTCAAGGGGGTCAGCCCATGAGCTCAAAGTTTTTTTTTTCATATTTAGAAGGAGGGGCTGTTCGGAGCGCTGAGTTGGCAGACTTGAAACTTTAAACGCGTTTTTTCTAAACTGTGTTTTTCAGACTGTCCTCCATCGTATCTCAAAAACGTCTTTACGGAATGACTTGAAATTTGGAGGCATGTAAATGCATAGCATGAACTATTATCAATCACAAATGCAAAGTTCTTCTTTTTTTTCTAGTTTATACCAAAAGTCCAATTTTAGGTATATTCTTTTTATTTGGTAATAGTCCATTCCGTGCATTCAGGCTAACAGATTAAAACGCCGCTATTTTTTTTTTGTTGTCTTAGATAAGCCAGTCTGCCGGAATTGTGGGGGAAGTGCGAACACATTTTACGACTTTTAAAAATTTAATGTAAATATAATATTTTTGGAGGAAATAATTTACGAAATTTTTTTTAACAAAGTACGCTTTGAATGTGGGGGCATGCGCATTCCCTTGTATTAATTTCTTACATTACAAAGAAATATCAATGATATTGCGAAACGATGTCTCGAACTCTGTGGAATTATATTGTATATGTACATACATATATAAATACATATATTCAGTATAAATTAGTGAGATATATTATTAGAAAGTAACCTATTTAGTAATCATTATTTTCTATCAATAAGTATAAACGAGTACATATAAAACTGTGTATATATGTATACGAGGGCCACTATATTATTTAAATCTTGTAGAATTTCGTCAATTGCATTCTTTTCTAAATATGTCTACACCAAAAACTCGAGACTTCCGTTCTATATAACTATAGGCATGAGTGACAGTATTCATAAATAACAGCAAAGTCTGCTTTTCATATTTGACACAATAGAGTCTACATCAGGGCTTAATTCGAGACGCGTGGACGCATTTATTTATATGCTTTATTTATATACATTTGTCTGTGATCTTACATATACGAGCTATCATTTATTTTACCCATATGTATATTCATATATTCTGAATTAATTTTGTAAGTTTTTTAATTCGTTGTTTAATACCCTGCAAAATAGATTCGCCATTCCAAATAAGTGTAGCAATGCAAAAAGTCATATTGTGCATACATATAAAAGTTATGGATATATATAGTTTGAAGTAGAACAACCGCTCTAAAATAACCTAACCTAAAAATGTCGAAAACATTTACAAACTCTCGCTAAAAATATGCGCAGGTGGAGAATTACAGAAAAACGCGTGTTGCAGAATTTCCTGGCACACCAAATAATATAATATGAGACTCTCTAGTCGCTGGGAATAGTTGCAAACAACTTATACATTCAGAATGCTTTCTTATCACAATATTCTCAGTAGAATTTTTACGTTATATTATGAGCTTTATGTTGATTTTGTATAAAAAATATTGTAAATGTACTTTCAGATAAGAATTTTGCTGTTAAAGTCTCGCAACATGTTGCACAGAGCACATTCATTTTTATACCCTAGGCAGGGTATATTAAGTTTGCCACAAAGTTTGTAACACCCAAAAGGAAATGTCGGAGACCTTATAAATAATATATATATATATGATCAGCATGATGAGCTGAGTCGATCTAGACATGTCCGTTTTGTCAGTTTTTGAGCAATCGATCTGAAATTTTGCGCAATTTCTTTTCTCTCCAAGAAGTTGCTAATTTGTAGGAGCTGCCGGTATCGGATCACTATAGCATATAGCTGCCAGTTGTCTTCACAAACTTTGACATTTGGTTTATTGTTCAAAATAACGCTACATTCTCCGAACATATTGTTCAGTTTGGACCACTATAGCATATAGCTGTTATACAAACTGACCGATTAAAATCATTTGCTTGTAATGAAACTTTGAATTTTTTATTTGTGAACGGTATTATAGTTTTGGTGGAAACGGAGTTAATGTTTTTTCTTTTTTTTTATCTAACAATGATTTATAAAAAACATTTTTACGTCATATGATGTCAAACTAGTTAGAAAGTAATAGCATACAATTTCTTGACGGAAAAATACCAGACTTTTATTGCAAAATTTTAAGTTAATTTAGCATCGAAAAGGGTGCCATCGGTAAAAAAAAACTTTTCCTTTACGGTTTAACCCGGTTTCGACGCTTTCTTACTTATATTTTGTTTCATATCATTAGTTAGTAATTATATTAAAGACGCTGTTTATATGTAACTAAATAAAGTAACCTTTCGCTTCTCTTCTTATAATTTCAGATAAACGAAACGAACGATTGCTTCAAGCTATGGAAAACAGTAGCAAATACGACAACAAAAGCAAAATCGTTTAAGCATAGTAGTCTTGTAAGACGTCCCTCGCTTTTGATATGCTTTATAAAGTCTTCCTTATATTCCCACATAAAAGTACTCATATATATATATAAATGGATATGAGCATAAAATGATGTGATAAAAATTGTAGTTTCTTTACTGCTCGTTTTTGTTGTTTACAAAATTTGATTGAAAACAAATACATATCAACAATATAAGTAGTCGTTAAAATGACTTGGTCGCGTACAGTGCAAGGCGATTAAAACGCGAAACATTCATTTAAATAAGAAATTACTAATTATTTGAAGCAAAACAGTGATTAAATGAGCATTTAAAAATATTTGTAAATGCTTATTTATAATTTTTTAGAAATTATGCGGTTTAGTGTCGATATAATAATAAAAAATGTGTAATAGAAAGTAAAAAGTGTGTGAGTACACACAAGTTTTAAAGAAAGCATTAATTAAATAACTTCCTTAAATGAAATTTCAAATTAATTGCAGATCTCTTCTCGCAATTATTTTAAGATGTGATTTCATTGCGCAAACTCGTATACAACTATGTTAAGATGTATAGTGAAACAATAATAATGTGTTAACAGATCAAAGTGAAAAAATTGACGCAGCAAAAATAAAATAAAGAAAACATACTTGTTTACAAACAAGCTTTAGTTTTAAATGAATTGTATAAATATTTCAACACATTAAAATCAAGATGAGACTTCCACACACGTCGATAAGACATATAAACCCACGGAGAAGCTGTAGTTTGAATAAAATGAGCATATTTGCAACATTATTACTTCTACACTTAACCACATTGTGGCGAGTTCAAGCCGGTGAGTACTAGAGCACATTAATAAATAACTATGCTACTTATAAACAGGATTGTGTAAAAAATTTTGGTAATTGTTTACATTTATTACATATTGACAATTATTGACATTTGGCCAAGAATAAGATTAGCTTGCAGTAATAAGTTGAAGGTTTGCTAAAAGTGTGCATTATTTTGCGAAACTTGTCCATGATTAGTTGTTAGACAAAGCTGGAGAACGTTAAAGCAATCTTGCTTTGCTAATGAAAACAATTATTCTCAACTTTTTAATATCAATAGCAATAATATTAAATAATTAATAATTTAACCTCACTTTATTGGCTTATTTTTTATGCTAAAAATGGAAGTAGTATATTATACATAAGCATGACGTTTGGTTGAAAATTTTGCAATACTTGTATATTAGAGTAAGAAAAATTACTAGAAGAAAAAAAAAATTGCTATCCATGGATCAGTATAAAACATTTTTTTATCATTAAAAGTTCGAATTTTTGACGATTTTGAATGAGCTGTACAGTCTTTACAAAAAATGTTCTTTCACTTCTTCCTTTGAATACAAATTGTATAGATTTAGTGCAGAAGATTATTTCTTAAACTCTCAGTCATTGCTGTTCTAATATAAGGCGCCAAATGCACTTTTCAAAATCTTTTAGCACCCATTAATGTAATGTTGAAGGAAATAGCGTTTAGATTGTTAGAATCACACTTGCATGAGTGTATGTATGTCTCAAGTAATTATTTTAACACTCAAAATACCAACAGTAGCTTTGGTTCTACTATTTTGACATGTTGTTATCTCCTGCAATACTACATGGATGCATATATAATAAATAATTATCTCGTAAATTACACTTGTTGCTTTAATATACCAATTAAGCCCTTTCAGTTTACTAAGTGCGCCGCAAATGCTTGTGGGTACTAAATCACAACTTCGAAGCCTATCAACAATTACTTACATACATATTTACATGCATACATTACATGCCATTGTTTATATACCATATTTCATATTTCACAGGGGAATACATAGATAAGAACATACATATAATTAATATATTTGCTTTTATGTGTTCATGTACAGCTGTGGACATAAAAATAGCAACGCATCTGAGACATGGTACTGAATACTGAATTTTTTTAAGAAAATGTGTACACATACATATTTATGCTTAATAAATATACTTTATTATTATTGACATTTGATATATTACGTAGAGTTCATTTTTAAATGATTTTTGAATAAAAAAAATATAAATCGAATAATAAAGTGGTAGAAGTAGCCATTGTTTGAATTACTTGCGCAAAATTTACAATTTTTTGTGATAAACTATCGTTTTGATATTCATCAGTTTTTGTCTGTTAAGCTTTTTTTCAATCAATTGTAAAAGTTCTAACCCAAAAATAATTATCATCCACTTACAGCAACTAGTTATCAAAGTAATTTACTTTACCGGAATCACATTTAATAATTTAATTATATCAATACATACTTGTATACGTCAGACTGAATACTTGTGTAATGTAGCATACAAATATACATACCTATGTATGTTTCATTGCTTCAGTTTACGTTTTTATTGTTAATATGTATTTGTTTAGCGATAATCGTTTCTAAAACCATTTTTTATTATTATGAGCTTTGGGAAATTACAAATGTCCCTCGGAGCATTTGTTTATATTTATTAGTATGTACTAAATTTTTATTTCCATTTTCGACATTAAATATTTATACATATACAGCGAGTATAATCGCTTGTTTATAAATAAATTGTTGACGTTTTACGAAATTAAGTCCAACAGTCACAATATTTGTCTGAACTTAAGAAGTTCTAAGTGTTTTGTTGTTAGGTTTTTAGGGTGAAATTTTACCAATAACGAGTTTTCCTAGCTAAGAATATTTTTTGTACCACTTAGGTCTTTAATTCAAGCTTACATTGTTTTATTACTAGTCGGAATTGTTTTTTCTCTTTATACTTTATTAACGGATAATTAATTTGCTTAGTGAAAAGAGAGAGAAGAGATAACCAGTAAAAATCTTGTCTACAAATTAATATTTGAAAATTAAACAAAATATATGAACAGAAAATAATATATAGAGAAGTAAAAGTATAGTGAATGAAACGGAAAATCGCAATTATTAGCATAAATAATAAATTGCACTACAAAAAAGTGAGGTAAAGTTCATGTCTACTCCTAACATACAGATTTGTACAATATAATGTAATGTAATGTTTATAATTGATTTTTCTGCTATAATGAATTTCAGTAATATTATCAGCTCATCTTTGGTATTTTATTTTTTTTTGTATTTTCTTTATTACTAGTGTTCCTTTTTGAACATAGTCTGCGACGTTAGATCTAAAAATAGTGTTTCAGTACATTGTTCAAAGTCATTGTGCTACAACTACGTTGTGTTTACAAATATTATATACTACATATAACCATATTTACATATATTTTAATGTGTATGTTTACAATTATTTACATACAATTTGTATATGTATGCAGTATGCACAATTATTATGTAGATTGCTAGTATTGCGAGATCGTGTCCGGCATGCTTTATACTCTTAATAATTCAAAACTAGAGCGCTATAACTGAAAACATTACACATACATTAAAGCATGCAATTTTTAGTTATTGTTATACAAGTGATAAATGAGTTTTGATAAAAATAGCTGCATTTATAAAAAAGTATTTATTATAATAATAAACGATTATACCTAGAGATGTTTCCTCTATATAGTGCTCATTTATATACGTTCCAAAATACTACACTTCGTGTAGCTGATGGATGTTATAAAAGCATTTTTTTATTTAATATTTTTTATTTAATACATTTAATACTGTATATGCTTGAAAATAATAATATTTTGCAGAAATAAAAAAATCGTGATATTCTGTTAATTCTAGCATACGAACGTTATGCGCAGCAGTTTTCTCTAATATTTGTTTTCTTTTTCACAAGAAGCTATTCATTATGCATTGCCAAGAAAAATCACAGAGAAAAGCGAAGTTAATATTAGATTATAATAAATAATATTTTATTGTATAATAAATAACTTATACGCACTGTATTCCATGAGCCGAGCTGTCCGCCTTAATATAACAGCGTGTCAAATTTAACATTTTCAAGCGAAAAAGGGAATTTCCATTCATTTTCAGCACATCTTCCCTGCAATTATTTGTTTATATTCACTTTACTATGCATACAGATATTTATGTAATCATGCTCTATTTGCAGTTCGCTCTCTACGCGTTTTTAATATATAATTGTAACGTGTCGGTAGGTGATTTAAATGCAAATCGTTGGAGCCATTCATTGAAGTGCTATCACAAAGTAAACACCGACTTATACTTCTTCTCTTCTTCTGTTGAAAGTTTAAACACGTAGCAATGCCAAATCAACATTTTGAATCGGTGCAGGTCGAACGTATTTCCAGTGAATTAAACTCAAAAAAAACATTTATTTATATTTTGCACACTTAAAAGACGGGACAAATAGATAATGATAAAAGTACACACATGGATTGAACACAAGTAAGAAAAGAGTAAGCTCGGGCGAAATCGATTATTGAGTACTCTCGCAATTTGTAATTATGTATGTACATAAATATTGTGAAATATGAAAAATTTTGCGTGTGAAAATTGTATTTTTTAGCATATGTAATTATTATTGTTGGAGAAAAGTAAGAAACGATTCCAATTTTTTTTTAATTGTTGTTACTTATAGGGGTTTAATGCTTTATATGCTATGTTTTTTTCCAATATTTTGGTTGAAACTTAAGCTATATACTATAAGTCAAATAACCTAATGGAGTTCACATTCATTTTATGCAGTAAGTAGATGTTCATTTCTTACAATTTGTGGCAACGGCTTGGCTCCAATATTAGAATATTGTGCGTTGCCATACTCATAAACTAATTTTTAAACTAATTTATATCTTCTTTAGCTGACTGTTATACTCTTATGCAAAATTTAGCCAAAGTATATAAAATTGTTGTAACAAAAATGTATTGTATTTGGCTAAGAAGTGCATGCATACATATATACATTTATGTATGTATGTACGTGAAATAACAATTGCGTGTGGCATTCAACTTAGAATATGCATGCACTTCACATATGTGCGTACATAAATTTATTTATACTTAGTATGCAAGGCATAGGGCCCTTTCATTCCACGGTAAAAGTGATAACAAATAGGCATTCGTATTTGGCATATTGACAAGTGCTGTTGACAAATATATAACAACAGTAATTATACTTACTTACTCTCTCTTATAAGCACATTCACGTGAGCTGCATCTCGTACAAAAGTTTAACAAAAAATAAGCAAAAACAAGAAAAAACTTTAACTTCGGCTGCACCGAAGCTATAATATCCCTCACAAGTATGTTTCTTATAGCACAAAAGTGTATACAATTAGCTTTATTTTGATTTTAGCAGCTATATTCTATTGTTATCCGATTGGAAATTTTTTTTTCTTATTGTACCGTTACCTTCGACAATAATCAATATTAAATTTCGTAAAGATATCTTGTCAGATAAAAAAGTTTTCCATAGAAAAACTTGATTCTGATCGTTTAGTTTGTATGGCTGCTACGAGTATATGCTACAGTGGTCAGATAACGGCTTTTACGTCAAATGAGCAGCTTCTTGGGAAGAAAAGGACGTGTGCAAATTTTAGATCGATATCTCAAAACTAAGAGCCTAGTTCGCGGACAGACAGATGGAATGGATAAATCGACTCATCTTATCACGCTGATCATTTACATATATACTTTATAGGGTTTCCGGGTCTTCTAGGTTTTGCAAACATCTCGGCAAACTTAATATATCCTGTTTAGAGTATTAAAAAAAACTTCGTTATATGAGTATGTAAAATAGTTCGCCATTCTTAGTTCAAAATAAATATCATATTAAATTTACTTTCTTAAAGTTTAACGTTTTATTCCACATCTCTATTTTTCGCCATTCTATCAATATACATATATTTTGCTATAATTTGTTTTTCGAATCGTATGTGATCGCAAATAACTTCCCTGTTGCTACACAGCTGTCTTTAATTAAACGCCACCTCATCCAATTCGAATACAAAAAGCAAAGAATTCTTTGTGAGTAAATAGAATTGGACTTTGGCGCCACTGGCGACAGAATTTAATTGTGTGCATCCGATTTTCGTTGTCTGCTTTTTTGTGACTTGCAACAGTTATATTGAAATTTATTTCAATGTATGTGAGTGTATGTATATAAAAATTTGTTTTGGAATGCGTGCGCCAACAGCCTAGAAAACTCATGCAATACAATATAATATGTATGTGTGTGTTTGGTGTCTAAATATGAAATATGCTCTCAGGGCATACGAAAGAGTGGATATTAAGTATATTATACAAAGATGTATAAAGGTTTTTCATTCGCCAAAACTGAAAGTGGCGAAACGAACAGACAACTCGCATAATCAAATAAAACAATAAAACTTGCATAATCAAATAAAGAGATGAGCTTGCTATACCATTTTAAAGAGTTGTCCGCATACTTTCTTTTATTATATAACTAATTTATTTGTATTTCTGTTTTAGCACCACAATTACTTCCAACAAACGACGATGAGGAATTCCGTCGTAATTATGCTGTCGAATATGGTGCACCATTAATCACACCACTTATGGAATATGTAACACTTGAATTAAATACCAATTATACAATACGTTGTGAGGCTGACGAACCGTTATCATGGAGACTCGCTTCTGATTCTCTTAACTACGACGTGCAAACATTTAACACTGGCGATCCACAACGTCCCCATGGCAGTATGCTATATCTACTGGATATATCTACTATGAATTTGGGTAATTACTATTGCATAAAAAAATCAAGTATTCCAAATAGCGTAGAGGATATGATGGACGAGGAACTTGTAGAGTTGGTTAATAATAATACAGCGTCCTCAATTTACGTATATGTTAATGGTAAGAATAAATGCACTGAAGAGCTACATGTCATATTTACTAACGCTATTATTCTCCGACAGACCCCAATAATCTTTTATCACAAAATGAATTTCCGGTCATTAGTGCGCTTCAGTACCAGGATACGGTCATACCATGCAAACCAACTATGCCCAATATAGAAGTGCTCCTAACCACGTCGCATGGTGAAGTAAGTATATACATATACAAACGAGTATATATTTTGACTAAATGTCAACTTGCTTGCAAGCTTTTAAATTCTTACACTTTTCTCATACACGTGCATAATATGCTTTTCGCTTGCACTTTCAAGGCAATATTTTATTGAACTCAATGTTTATCAATACTACTTGTTATATTCGGTTTCATGTTTCATTTAAATTGTGTCTTTACCAAAATGGTTATGGTTGCTACATACATTTTTTTCTTGGCTTAATATATTACATTTAGGATGGGGTGGAGGCAAAAGTTTTGTGTTCCTCTAAGTTGGCGCCACAGCGTACAAGTTTTCCACCTGTCAATGTGTATGACTCAATTGAATTTGATCCGAAAATCGGTTTCATCATACACAATGTGGGAAACATTGCTGATTTGGATTGTTTTGGCCGCAATGGAAGCACAAATAGTTTACCTATTACCTATATAATTAGTATGAAACGTATGTTAATCAAGCCTTTTTTTTATATATATATATACATTCGACCATTTATAGTTACCCAAAACAATATAGTATAATATATACTTGTATATATTTATATATATATAGTAGATATAGTAGACAGTATACAGAGTACATAGTAAAGTAGTTCTAGTAGTATGCCAACCTGTATAAATACGTAATTATTTGGCATTACTCTTTATAAATATAAAAATATGTAAAAAGTAGCTAAATATATCACCTTTGTACTATAAATTCATAAGATTTATATAAGAAGATAATTGGAATCGTAGTCGTAGTCCACATCTTCAATATTCCATAATATGTTTAGTTGATGGAAATTTCAGTACAAGAGATAATTTATTTATTTGATCGGGTTAGGAAGAATTCATGTGAGGCTTTGTATATATTACGACAATTTATTTCAAATTAGGCAGCAGAAGCATACGAGTATGTAATTATAAGTGAAAACTAAAGAAGGATCTCAGGGTCTGATCACACTAAAACTAATAAGAATTTTTCTTTAGCTTTGCTGTAGCGGTTATAAGCTTTCACGAGAGTGGGTTAGACGGAAAACAGTACACTTGTTTTACAGGGGGTTATATAGGAAGTTAGGCAACGATTTCAATTCATTTTATACCAAGCAAAACCTCCTTAGCTACTTTTGTATTAATATTTATAATTTAATTAATAAAGCGAGAAAAACGATATACTAACGAAAATCTTCGTATCTGTTATAGGGACAGCTTTAATGGTTTATAAAATTCATATATAGTTCTAGATTAATATTTGTATATATGATATATTAGAGAGCGCTACCAGATTCTGTTTTAAAAGTTTTCAAACCTTACATTTAGAACCAAGTATAACTTGATTTTGGAAATATAGATAGTAAAATTATTAAAAAATTTGCATAAATTTAAATATAATCTAATTATGTATGTATGTATGTATGTTAATAATTCATATTATTATTATGTATAATCAGAATATTTAAATTACCAGATAAAAAATTATTTTTGTGAGTCCATTCAGAGAAATAATTTTTGTAAATAATTACATCAGAGTATCTGTAGACATTTTTCGTGTATTTGACCATTTTTTAACGGTTTAATTATATACATTTGTACATACGCATAATGACACCTTATTTAGAGAATCAAATCTAGCTTATAAGGGTACCAATTTTTACATTATAACAAGTTCTCAGTTGCCCATGTGGGAACCACATTGTCCGTTGCTACAGCATCGTTTTTTTAAATCAACTTAACCTAACAAAGTTTAAAACGATTGTATTATACCTATATATACTTACATTATATATGATGAATTTAAGATATTTTTCATATTGTTTATTTTTTATATAATTTCTAAGGATCCTGTACTTAGCTCAACTTTTCGCGTTAGCTTTTTGTATTACACACGCACTCATACATACCGTCATTACTTTTGTGCTCTTTACTCGCTTACCGCTCGTTCATATAGTTATTTTATAAGCCTATAACCTTTTCTAAATTCAACACAAAACGTTTAATTGCTGTTTAGACATTTTCCAGTGAAAGTACCGGCCGCTATGATCCCCAACGCGGTTTCGTCGTCGAAATACGCGGCGTTACCGATGGCGGCAGCTATGTGTGCCGACCGAAAGTGCCGTCTCCATATAATGAAGAGGAGGAACAAGCCTTTGAGATCCATTTTGTTGGTAACGAACCTGTTAATCGTGAGTTTTGCACCCCATTTGTGATTGTTTTCTGTGTCTCTTGTACCTATCTTATTTACTACAGTTACATTTATTGTAATCAAAATACTCTTTTCTTTTACTTACGGTTTGATATGGACGAAAAAGAATTTAAATAATACTATTTATATAAAAAATTAGTTGAAATGATTGGAAATTTGTACTAAAATTTGAGAAAAATAAGGTTTAACTACTTCTGACGTTGCCAACAACGTTTAAGTATATTTCTATTAAGAAGTATGAATTAAGATTAGTCTAAAATAGTTTTATACTTATATCCACACTCAAAAGTTACAAATAACCTGTTACAATTATTTGATTATTAATTAGAAATTTGGTGTTGGTATTATGACTTCCGTTATTTCAACTTTATTCGAGTATTTTACTCCTATGTATACAATTACAAAGATTTTATTCGTATACACACTTACATATATACATGGCCTTTTTCTATTTTTCCTATACACCATTTTGGGCCTCTATTATTCCGGTGGTTATTGAAATACATACTTAACAAACAAAAACGTGTTTAAAATTTTTTTAATTAACACTCAAACATGGAAAACTCAATTAATTATCATATGTATTAATATATGTATTAATATATGCGACAATCTGAAGCATCGGATAATGCATCGGTGGAGGCTATAGTAGCTATAATGAGAACCACAACTACAATCGAACCAAAGCACAACATATTCTTAAAAACTAAACGCATTTTTAAACACAGACCAAGCCGAAGCACGAAATCAGAAACAAGTACAGTAACTAACAAAATTATGTTTGTCACTAACCGCATTTTTGATGTAGCTAAACGAAACCAATCGCCTGTTTTGCATACAATATTGAATAAATCTGTTGTTGTATCAGCTATGGAAATGGGTGTGGATGTCGATCATAATGTTGACACAACTAATCTTGGTGCTGGCAATGTTGTTAATGCAAATAAGCGTATCTTTGCCGCTGAAACTCATAATAGCAATATCATAGCAAATGTTGTGGGTATTACTATTGGTGACGGTTACAATACGACTCACGCGACTACCCTTTCTGGCTATAATATCGCAAAAGTAGTTAACAATTATACAGACGACCAGCTCATTGACATTGTTAAAAGTGACAGAAATGTGGTTGAAGAAAATAATATTTATGAAATCGAAGCACATCCACCAACACGTTTGCGCGGCACAAAGAGGCCGCTTTTAAAACGCGCTGGGCCAACAACTAGATGGCATAGTTCACGATTCCGTGGTGCGCTACGATGTAAGTTCTATATATTAGCAGCATATAACAATAATTTAAAAGCAACACATTTCCATGTAGATTTTTCGTACCCTTTTTTTCGACATTGTTTTTTAATGCACGGAGTTTTCTCAATTATTATTTTTCTAAGCGCATGAGTTATGCTGGAAAATTACAGCTGTTTATATTCTTTTGATTTCCAACGAAATTTTTCAAACGCACTATTTATCCATTACACGTTATCTACATACATATGTACTTCGTTTCAATTGCGAAAGCTTTTGGCTTAAATAAAGTTCATATTTTAACGCTTAAAAAGCTTTCGAAAGCTTTTGACTCAAAAGATGTGAGCTTGAAAAGCTTTAAACTCTTGTATTAGGTAAGTAAAAAAATGTATGAAAAGTTGTTAAGCTTGGTAGGGAAGTATATGGAGAGTATGGAAGTAAAGCTGCAGAAAATTTGTTAAACCAGAAAAAATTTAGTTATATATTTTATGTATGCAGCTGTGACTAAAACCCTTAGGTCAAACAAAAAACAAACTTATAACATTATGCATAGCTTAAAAATTGGAATCGCGAAAATTTCTGAGCATAAATTTTAAACTAAAGATTTGTGGTCAATATAGTATGTCAAAATCTTTATAAAAATGTGACTGAGTTTTTTTTTTTTTTTTTTTTTTTTTTTTTTTTTTGCGGGTGAGGGGGTGGAAAATGCCTTCCGCATCATCAGTGCTGTCGTCACAGCAACGGTATGTGCCACTTGCAGGTCACTAAAAACCCCCCCTCTAGGGAACCTGCTGCTAAATAAATGGTGTTAGTTTAAGTGCGCTTAAAAGGTTGAAGAGACTAGTTATTTCCAACAACTACAGTAGTAAACTGTTTTGAAAAATTTGTATAATTCAAAACTTCTACATAGCATTTTTTCCAAAAAAAATTATCGTACAAGAGACTTTCGAATCACACATTAAGCGCAAGCACTCAAGCTAATTATGCAATAAATAAAATAATTATGCAAATACAGTAAATAGCTTTCTTTTCATAACTTTTGTTTACGAATTTCACCTAAATAACGGTACTACGTTCACGCATACCCAGCTTTAGATAATGGAGCTTGTTGTCTAATATAATCCATTTTGTTTTTTATAAACTGTGCTTATAAAACATTTTCAAAATACACACCACATCGGTAACTGGTACTTAGTCCATCTGTTTTAAACGCATCAAAGTATTTTTGTTTTCATAACAAATTTTCACAATTGTATATTTTCATTTATTCATTTAAAAAATTTCCAGTTGCATTTTATTTAGTTTGTATGTATTTATTTGTAAATTGTATTGTAAATTGTTTGTAGTGTTTTATATATAATATTTGTTTTGTATTTGCTACGATGTATATTTTATTTATTTGCATGCATTTTGTACGATTTGTACTCCTCTGTTCTATGTATTATCCCCAAGTAATGTTGGCTTTTAGTTTTTAGTAACTTTTATTTAAAAAACACATTAACTTATATATTTATATCAATTTCTTGCTTGCGAAATTCAAAATCGTTAAACTAATAGCGAGTACGAAATATATTGAGAAACCGATTATAACCTCAAATTCCCGTGGACATGTGAACGTTGGTGAAAACTTCACGCTAAATTGTTATGTGAAAACCGCCTTTGATGTTTCCTACACAACAGACTGGAAAACACCAACCGGAATCGATAAGGTGAGATTAAATAAAGCAATTATGAAGTGCATGTATGAATTTTATTATATTTAAAATTTTTATAAAAAAATATCGAAAAAAAAACAAGTTTAAGATGTATTTAAATATAAATTTAATGTTAAATAAAAGTCAATAAGTGAAGCAATACTTGTTAAAATATTAATGTCAACTAAAAATTTGTAAATATTTCGATATAGGATCGCATGATTAAAACTACGGCAACATTTATCAATAAAACATTAACGCATCAAGTCGGTGGGGCGAAATTGACAATACTAAATGCTAAGAAATCGGATTCTGGTCTCTATGAATGCATTTGCACGGACCATTCGAATAATGTTGGACGCAATAATTATCAAATGACAGTTTTAAGTGAGTTTTCAAGCTATATTGATCCAAGCACATCATTTTTATATAAATTCTTTTAAACACATGATCCACAGATCGCGGTGAGGGCTATATAAACATTAGTGAGCCTTCCGGTTATTACAAAATCGCTAGTAATGCCAATAAAAAGGTGCAGATCAATGTTAAATATCGCGGTTATCCGTTTCCAACGCTTACTTGGCACAAACCAGACAATACGCAAATTCATCCATCGAAAAAATATATGATCAACACCACCGACACTTCGATTACACTGCAAATATTGAATGCACAACTCGAGGACTGTGGTGAATATGTGATACGCGCCAATAATGAATTACTGGTGAAAGAGTTGAGATTCAATGTGAGCATTAGCGACAAACCCAAAGTGACAGTGGACGATGTGTACGTGCAGGCTGGCGAAGAGGCACATCTGCAGTGCAAAGTGTTATCCTATCCCTTCGCCGTAGTCTCATGGGTATTTACACCGTGTAGCATATCGCCGCGTTGGCCTTCGTGCAACAAGCGAATGGATCAAAATTTTAATGTATGCAACATTTTTTTTTTTTATTTATACTTTTTTTCGTTTTTTACTTTTATACTAATATTTGAACTTCAATTTAATTTTATTACACAATAACAATAGTCTACACGAAATGCCCAACCAGGCGCAATGGCCGTTGAATATATACATGACCTCTATTTTACGCCAGAAAGGCCGGGTATTATGCATTGTTTAGCAGCAAATTCGAAAGGTTTGGGTGAAGGTAAAGGTCACGTGCTTATTGGTGATATAAATGACAATATGACTATATACGGTACGGATGAGAATAAGAAAATTGCACGCGGTGATGAAGTGACACTCACATGCGCTGCTCTCTCTTACTACTTTTCTGACGATCTGAATTGGTATAAAGATGGCGAATTGGTGGGAGAGGACAGCAGTAGTAAGTTGTATATTGGGAAAATAATTATTTTCAATTATTAATCACATTTACATATACTCTTGCTGTAGATTTTGTCATCAGCAACTCGTCAACCAGTTACTCGTATCAAAACACATTGATAATCAAAAATATACAAGAACGCGATCAGGGCAGCTATGAGTGTCGTGCACGTAATGCAAACAATCCCGATATGCAAGAAACCAAATATAGAAGCATTTTTGTTTATGGTAAGTTGCACTTAGACCCATTTTTTTTTTTTGCATAATGCAGCAAATCAAACCTTTTTCAACAATGAACGTACCTTAACGCTGAAGTTCTTGAGTAATCGCTTTACGTTTGACCAAAATAAGTATGAGCTCTCTTCGATGCCCTCTTTTTTCTTCTGCAGAACCTTTGGCGCCACGTATGCTGTATAGCAATCTTGACGACAGTGCTAAACTGGAGCGCAAGCTTGGCGATGCTCTACAATTGGAATGCAGACCGGAAGCAATACCAGCAGCGGAAGTGCATTGGTATAAAGACGATGTAGAATTGAACAACAGCAGTTATGTGGACATTCTAGACGATGGCAGCAAACTAATCATACAATATATCAAACCTGAACATGAAGGTGTATACAAATGTGTGGCTTTAAATCGTTTGGGTTCTATCGAATCGAGTTCGGCGGTTAAAATTACAAGTGTGTTTCATTTTAATCGAAATTCTTAAACTAAGTAAACTCACAACTTAATTTGTTTGCAGATTTACCGCGCATGCGCGTCGGTTGGATATTCGCCATACTGTTCTTCTTCATTTTCCTCATTGCCTTGGTGATTTATCTATGTGTGCGTGTTATGCGCGAAAGAAAGCGACTGCGCGATTACAAAGCGGCCGGTTTGGCAAATTTCGAAGACGGCGCTTTGGAGCATATAAATCCAGCGTTGACATTAGACGAACAGGCCGATTTATTGCCTTATGATCGTGCTTTTGAATTTCCTCGTGAAAAACTTAAATTGGGCAAGCAATTGGGTGCCGGCGCTTTTGGCGTGGTATTAAAAGCCCATGCGGAAGGCATACGACCAGATGAAAAGGAAACCGTAGTGGCTGTGAAAATGGTCAAACGCATTGCTGATAATGAGGTGATGCGTGCGCTTGTGACAGAGTTGAAGATTTTGGTGCATCTCGGCCCAAATTTGAATGTTGTCAATCTCTTGGGTGCAGTCACAAAAAATATTGCGAAACGTGTGTAGCTAAATTACTCAGTTGTTCTAAAGCACTTGATTATATTATTTTTGAATATATTTTTTTTAGGTGAATTAATGGTTATTGTGGAGTACTGTCGTTATGGTAATGTACAAAACTTTTTACTGCGCAATCGTAAACGTTTCATAAATCAAATTAACCCTGAAACCGATAAAATTGATCCAACCATTACTAAACAGAGGTTTTCGGATAATTTTGAATTGAACCGGTATGTTATTTTTTCTATATAATATGAAATATGAGCATATACAATAATATATTTGGTTAAAATATGTATCTACTACTTGCATGCCATTCAATAATAACTATTTTTAATCAAATTAGAAACGTAAGATTATTCTTTTTAGTTTCCATTACATTACTACATACTAAAGCAAAAACAATTATTCAGAATTTTTTATTCATATATGTATGTATATGTTTTTTTTATAGTTGAAATTTGTAACTAACAATTGCTATTAAAATAGCATGTTATAATATAATATTATGTAATATTTAGCAGTTTGTGGCATAACCTTTTGTGTGCTTGAACCCTAGAATTTTATTATTTCTAATTTAATTCAGTTGTGTAATTCTAACAAAACCTTCGCTATTCATAACAATTATATTGTTTTTTATAATCCAAGACTTTGAAGAGCTAATTTCTAACAAAGACAAAAAATAACGTTAACTTCGGCTGCACCGAAGCTAGATAACCGTTCATAGGTGCATGTCTTATAGCATAAAAAGTTACAAAACGATCTTTATCTTGATTTTGGTCGGTCAGTTTTTATGGCAGCTATATTATTTAGTGGAGAATGATCAGGATGACAAGATGCGTTGAATTCCGTCCGTCTGTCTGTCCGTGCAAGCAATGACTTGACTAAAAATTAAGATATCTTCATACACGTGTTCCTTGGCACCCAAAGGCAGGTGGTATTGCAGATGGTTGGAATCGGACCATTGCCACGCCCACAAAAAATCATTAATGTTATAAAGTAATAATGGTAATTTGGTACAACGAATCGTAATAACAGGGGCATCTGTGGTTTGAAACTTTAAAAATAAAAATTTATAAGAAAAATTTTAACGTAAGTTAAACAAGAAAAACTTTAGCTTCGTCACAGGTTTATTTCTTATAGCATAAAAGAGTATAAAATGATTTCTATCTTGATTTTTAATGGTCAGTTTGGATTGCAGATATATGCTATAGTGATCCGAACTGAACAATATATTCAAAGATTGTAGCTTTATCTTTGACAATAATTTGTATCAAATTTCGCGAAAATATCTTTTCAAATAAAAAAGTTTTCCCTACACAAACTTGATTTGGACCGCTCGATTTGTATGACAGCTATACGCTATAGTGGTCCAAACTGAACAACGGAACAACAAAAACGCGAAGCGTCTGGCCTGTGCTCAAGGTGAGAGTCACCACGATGTGATTTGATTTAAAAGTCATGAGGTGGCCTCACGCTAAGCTGGCTGTTAGCTGGCTCTATATAAGTAAAGCAGGTACCGTGCCTGGCCAGTACTTATGTGACTCTCACACCGTGATGTAATTTCATTCGAAACTCACAAGGTGACCTCAGGGAAGCTGGCTGCCAGCTGGCTCTATATAAGAAAAGCAGGCACCGTGCCTGGCCAGTACTTAGGTGACTCTCACGTCGCGATGTGATGTTAGTACTTAGTTGCTCACAAACATTTGTCTGCTTTCATTAACTTTCAGTTTGCTTGTTAAATTGTTAATAAAAACAATGAAAAACGTTAACACCATTTGCACCGAAGCTATAATAATACCCTTTACAAAAACAAATTATAAAGAAACTACAAGAATTTCAATCCGATCGTTCAGTTGTATAGTATGAATATGCTATGGTCATCCGATCTGAACAATTTCTTCGAATATTGCATTATATCCTTAGATAATAACCCATGGCATGCTTATATATACTGGTGATGATATCTGAAATAAATTTAATCTCTTCGGCTGAGTTTATATTGCCTATATGGAATCTCATTTGAATATGATTTTAATATAACTTCATCTGACACGAGGTAAAACATAACAAGAAAAGTAAGTGAATCTATGACCTATAAGATAATTAAATAAAATACCAATTTGATTATATATAATCCAGTTTAACAATGAATGTTTGATTCTTTCACAACATTTTTTTAAAATAAAGTTTTGCCAACATCTTAAATCATTTCTTCGTCCTTGATCATTACAGGTTGCAAGAATATGAAACGTTCGGTTATACCCGAATTTAGCTCTTCCTTACTTGTTCCATAGTATGTTCTATCATCTATTATGCATTATTATGCATCTCTTCTATTTTCCGCCAAAAATACTAATAACAATAACATATATTGTAATATATTATTAACTTTTTTTGCTAAATTGCACTTTACACACTTATAAATACCACTTCTGTGAAAACTTTAATAACTGATAACTGTACGTCTGTATGTATTTAACTATATTTTTGTGGTGCTGGTAATTTTTTGTTCCTACTACCACAATCCAATGCGAATGATGCTTGTTTACTCACAATGGGAATAATATTTGTGGTACTCATAACAACAACTATTTTTATGCACTATGGATGGCTTGCATTTTATTTGAATCAGTGATGGAGTAAAATATGTTAATCTGGCATTTGCAAATCACCAATATGTTAATCATATGAATAATATGAACAATAATTATACGGCAAATAATCGTAGAAACTCCGATGAGGACCCACGCTCCGGCACACGTGCTGGTCGTCCCAATTCTACTGGATATTTGCGCCAATCGGATTTGTACGAAGGACATGTGGATAGCTGTGCAACGGAGCAAACTGTAATGACCACAATACCTGAGGGTGCGTTACCGCATTTCATATTATAATATACTTGTATATATTGCTTTTAACACTGTTAATCTGTTTTTTGCTTTTGCTTCACCAGATGATGATAATGTGCTATCCAATAATTCAGTGCAACCTGCTTGGCGCTCAAACTACAAACCAGATAGTACAGAAGCCATGACAATTACCACAATACAGCTGGTAAGTTGGGCATTCCAAGTGGCACGCGCCATGGATTATCTGTCATCGCGTAAAGTATTGCACGGTGATTTGGCTGCTCGTAATATCCTGCTTTGTGAGAATAATGTGGTGAAAATTTGCGATTTTGGCTTAGCACGTTCCATGTATAAAAGTGAGAATTACAAGAAACAGGGCGAAGCACCGTTGCCAATTAAATGGTTGGCCCTGGAATCCCTCAGCGATCATATATTTAGCACTTACACTGATGTCTGGTCATTTGGCATTGTTTTGTGGGAGTTTTTCTCATTGGCCAAAGTACCCTATCCCGGTATGGATCCGAATCAGAGTTTATATTTGAAAATAAAAGATGGTTATCGCATGGAGAAACCGCCATATGCCAATAATGAATTGTATGACATTATGCTGGAGTGTTGGAGTACAAATCCGGAGAGCCGTCCATTATTCAATGTGTTGGAAAAGTATTTCGCACGTATGCTGGGCGAAGATGTGACAAATGTAAGTATAAAAAAAATTTAAATAAAATAAACTTTTGAAATAGATGGAAACCCAATATAAGCTCAAAATTATGTTTCAAGTTTTTTGCACCCACTTTAAAATGTTTTTTAAAATAAAGCCAATAGCTGGTATATATACTCGTGCATACAAATATGTAATGTTATGTATGTATGTATGTATGATAGTAAGTTATAAAAATATGTATGTGGGCCACCAAACGCCTTATGGAAATTAAAAATAATAAATATCTTGGGTTGACAACCCTGCCACTTATCCATAACCATTTGAAAATTCAAAACTTCTTTGTTATATATAATATAAAGCATGTATTAAAAATTATATTATTTTTTCAACAGCACTATGTTGATTTGAATGACACTTATTTACGCGCGAACATGGACAATGCCAATGTTAAGCCAACTGATTATCTGTCGTTAATGGGCTCACCAGACGAAATGGCACCGGCGCCACCACGCTATGTCAACGGCCATATATTGCCTGAAATACGTAAGTTTAATTTGAACAGGCAATACATATCACTTTATTTATACGAACATACTTTTTACGCACATAATTATCTATGTACAATTATACCATAAATGAATGTGTTTGTGACTTTCTTTAACTAACCACTCTTACATATTTCTATGTTCTATTTAAAATCTTTCCATCTACATACAAAACATGTATTTACATCTGTCTCCGATTTCATGCAACTAACCTCACACTCCGTCTTGCTACCATGCGTTTGTGCGTTTGTCCTTCCCATTACGTTCACCCAGGTATACAGCCATCTACTTCCGACGACTACTTAAATATGAGCATGGAAACTGGTACAACCATTTTCTCACCGACACGTCCCAAAGATTATCAAAATTCAAATGATGATACAAATACAACAACAACTTCTTTCAACTTCCCAGATAATACAGCACCAACAGCGCCACCAACATCACAACATTCCCCAACATTAGTGAATAATCTCGATAGTCCAATCAATAAGAATCGCAAGAAAGAGGGCATACAACCGGAGGAGATACCAATGCTGACGGGTACACATCACAATTCCGATGATGGCGGCGAGAGTCCAGAGCAAGGCAGAAAGTACGCCAAAAACATATTACAACAACATGTGCGCGCAACGCCCACACCTTCGCCACGTCATCACATCGCCGAGACCGAGCTCAGCGGCAGCGATAACTATGTGAATGTGAAATCACCGAAAAAGTTGAATAACAATGGTGCGAGAGCAGCGGATGCATTTTCAAATCCTAGCTATCAAATATTAAAGACTGTTTCTAAGGAAGTGGATAATAAATGAAGGATGTTCAACAGAAAATCCAACACAATCCGGGGCGTACAGTTTAATTTTAGGCGCTTTTTTGCTATTGCAAATATGTGCGAGAATGGAAAAATGATCGAACAAATATTGTCTTGATTAGATGAATTCGACTTTCGTAGTAGCTACAACCTACAAACTATACTATACTACTATATTTTTGCTTAAACTTACAATTAAAGTCGATTTTATACTGATTATGCTATAAGTGTTCATTTTCATAGTCAAAATGAGTTATAGTCATAAGTATTGCATGCGATTTTGCTTATTCACAATAACTTGGCACTTATGGCATTTTAACAGCTTTAGCTTTCCAAATATCATTGATCTTATCGATGAAAGCGCGCCAGCTTTAAAAAACGGTAAAATATTACATACATAATGCATTTATTTACTATAAATGGAAACATAAAGGGTTTGAGCTCATATTTTTCCCATTATTTCCTGTCAAAATTAAATATTTAGGCTAAAATTACATATGAACTTAAATTTAAAATTTTTGTTATCCCAAAAAAAAAGTATTCAAAATTGTTAAAAATCATTGATTATACTACTATATCCTTATAAAGAAAAATAATGAGATGGCTTATACACCGACTTGAATACTTACAAACATATTAATGTATTGCGATAAAAATGTATATTTTAATTAACTATCTTTATGTAAACATAGATAATTGTTGTATAATTAAAATATAAGAAAGATACTTTCGTTATTAATATCTATACGCTGATAGAATAGATTTAGATTACACATTTACAACTACTTTAACTGTACATAGACTACTTTTAAATAAACTGTGCGTTTCATACTCATAAGAAAAGTGAGCGGACAACTTTTCAATGTGCTATATATAAATTTAGTTTTATTGTAATAAGATTTACTTTTGTGAACTTGAATGCCTTAAACATTTTACACAGGAATAAAATATATGATAAATAAAAGTTTCTATATGCATGTTTTAAAGTGTATCGTGTACTTTTACTGGTTGTTATTTACCTGAACTTGTACCGCGAATCAAATTTTGAATATCCGTTACACCATCGGACTAACCGATTCTAAACTTTTTCCGTTGTAAGGCATGAATATTCAAACGAATATAACCTGTGAACGCTAGAAACCAGTATTGTTCCAGTCATCTTTCATTTTTAGACAAGTGTCACCCTGTTTCAGTTAGTGTTGGAAAAAACAACACTTGCAAATTGGTATTGTTGCAGCTAAAAAATATTGTTCACAATATTATAAATTCAATTATATCAATTTAATCAGTTATTATTTTCTGATAGCCTCCTGCTAAAATACATATATACAGAATTTCATTCATTAAAATTTCATATTTTCTGCATAACATACCTGCGAAACCAGCTGATTGTCGTAGCAGAATCAGCTGAATGTAAAACGAAAACGACTTGTCAAAACGTGATTGATATCTATCTTTTCCACTTTCAATTGGAATCAGAGTTCAAAATCATTTATTAGTTTTAAAGAAATTGTGTTTTTTAACGTAAAAAATTTGTTTCTTGTGTTAAAATCAGAAGAACAGTTATTATAAAAACGAAATAGTTCCACACTATAATTAAAAAAATTCGGCATGGCACACGCCACATCGCAGGTAAGGTTCGAAGTTATTGTGATAGTGACGCAATACAAGTAAATGTTTTGTGCGAAAATCTCCAAAGGAAATGGAATAAATAGTATAAAACACTTAGACTACTGTGTTGACAAAAATTTTTATATTGTGTAGAGTGTTTGTGATAAAATAAACACAATTGTATTATTTGAAGGGACCTCAACTGCTGCACGGCTTTAAGCGTTTATCACGCTTCGACAAAGGTCTTGGTGCACAACTGCCAGAGGCTTACAAAAAATTCTGGCGCGAATGGAAGCTTACTACACCAGCTGCCGTACACTATGTTCCAAAGACTGAGCCGTTTGAACACGATGAAGTGACTGGGGAAGTAAGACCTGTGCAAAATATACCCTTGCCATTAATCGACACCCCTGAATCACATGAAGGTATTTGGGGTGGAGAGGCTGTTATCAAGGGTTTTCAAAAACGTCATCCACAAAAAAGGCGAGTACCACACTTTTGGGTACCGACACTTCGACGTTCCGTGGTGCACAGCCAGGTGTTAAATGCGTATATTTCAATGGTTGTGACTGATCGTACCATTGATCAAATTCATGATTGTCATGGCTTCGATCACTATCTTCTGAAGGTGCGTAACATTTTAGTTACTAGGCAATAACTCTATATCTTAAAATAAATATTACTATTATCAAACTCAGAATCTTGCGTGCGATCTACGTTCTACGCTAGCTCTAAAATTAAAACGTAAAATTCTAATGGAATTGAAGGATGGCTGTCCAAATTTATCCAACAATCCATCAGAGAGAGCACGTGTACTTAAGGAATTTAAATGTTATTTGGATTCGGTATGTCGTAAATTATTAAATTGCACTTGCTTTGTAATGTCATGATCTGGATATATTTTAGTATACACCAGAAGAAATTGAATGGTACGGTCATACTTACGGAGAGGCCATACGTAAGTTACAAGCTCAAATACGCGCTGAAAACCCTATTGTACCCCATAAAGTCGAATTTCGGATGAAATTAATTGAACAACTGAGAAATGCCGGTATTAGCGAAGCTAGTGGCAGTCACATCAATGAAAAGGCGGTAAAGGGAAGCGACGATGCTGACATCGAACGCCTAACAAAACTGTAAGCACAATTTTTTAATTAAAAAAATGCGCTGAGTAACTTTTATCTGTTTTACAGTGAAGCACCATCCTCGTCCACATCAAGCTGGTTGTCGAAAATAAACCCATTTGGCAAAAAACAAGAAACTTAAAAGACTTAGTCTATTTCTCTTATTCATTGTTTTGCAAAAATTAATGTTTATCAAACACACTTGTTTTTTTTTTAGAATCAATGTATGTATATGGTATATGACCTTTCATCAATATTTTTCAGCAGTGAGTAATATTTTACAAGAATTGTATTGAAAGTAAGCATGTGAACATTTAAACATAGTCGTTATGTGTTTCGAACACATCGCATACTTGCAGTGCAGTTTTAGTAAAAGGTAATTTTATGCTCGACTATGAAAGTGAAATAAATCCAACTATATATACAATAAATATAATTCATTGTTTTGGAAAAGTTCTAGTTTTGCCACTAACTAATCCCTTTTTATTTAAGGCTTGTCACCCTAGATCCATCTATTTTTACTTAGTAGATAATTTATTCTCTGAAAGCTGCTGACGCATAAATTAAACCAACGAATTTTTGAGCAAAAACGAAGTCCCGACAATGTACTTTATAATCAAATAACATATTAGATTTCTACAAAAATCTTTTGAACTGTAAAGCACATTTATTACACACATAATACAATTGATTTTGCTTTGGAATGCAATTTGTATAAAATATTTATAAATACAATGAAAGCACATACCTACATTAGGTATATATTTGGTAGCAATGTACAATATAAAATTAAACAAAAAGTCAAAGGACATATGCACTAACTGTTTATATATACATAAATATTGCAATGAAATGCGCGATCCGTTGCTAAACTATATTTGTGCTTTCATAAAAAGAAACGATTGTACTATCGTCAAAGTCACAAATAAATCACACTTATGTAAACAATCACTAGTTTAGGCAATTGGATTCCTCTTCATAAGTTCAATATCCGCTTCCATCATATCCTTAATTAGTTCATTAAATGTAACTTTAGGTATCCATTTAAGCTCTTGACGGGCTTTACTCGAATCACCTTGTAACAAATCCACTTCGGTTGGACGGAAATACTTCGGATTAATACGTACACGCACAATGCCGGTATCCTTTTCGATACCCACTTCATCGACACCCTCTCCTTGCCAAATTATTTCTCGTCCAATGAATTTGAAAGACTCTTCCACAAATTCACGAACGCTGTGCGTTTCCCCGGTAGCAATTACAAAATCAGCAGGTTTTTCCAATTGCAACATCATCCACATAGCCTCCACGTAATCCATTGCGTGACCCCAATCACGTTTCGAGTCGAGATTACCCAATTCGAAAGATTCCAATTGTTGATGAAATATTTTCGCTACCGAACGCGTTATTTTGCGTGTCACGAAATTTTCACCACGACGTGGGGATTCGTGATTGAACAATATGCCATTACAGGCAAACATATTATATGCTTCGCGGTAGTTAATCACAATCCAAAAGCCGTACATCTTAGCGCAGGCTATAAAAAATATAAAACAAATTGACAATCTTCGCATAAATTCGTAATATTTATAGAATAGATAACGAAATATTTTTAATTGTATATGTTAATTCCACCTACCATAAGGGGACCGAGGGTAAAACGGTGTCTTCTCGTTTTGTGGTGTCTCCACCACTTTTCCGTACAACTCTGATGTGGAAGCCTGATAGAATCGGACAATTTTTTCCATTCCACATGTACGAACAGCATCAAGAATTCGTAATGTGCCCACAGCGTCTACTTCGGCAGTATATTCACTCAAATCGAAGGACACTTTAACATGAGATTGTGCAGCTAAATTGTAAATTTCCGTTGGCTTTACCATGCTGATGATCTTCACCAAACTACTACTGTCTGTCATGTCGCCATAATGCAGTTTCATTTTCCCACCTTGATGTGCTGCAGGGTTGGCATAAAGATGCTCAATACGAGAAGTGTTGAAAGTACTGGCACGGCGAATAATGCCATGGACGTCATAGTTTTTCTTTAAGAGAAACTCAGCCAAATACGAGCCGTCCTTTGGTAACGAAAAAGGCAATTTAAATAACACAAAGCAAAATAATATAACATTGAACAGAAATGTATATACGTGGCCAAAAGTATATGTTGGTATGCTGGCCAAATGTTATTTACTCAGCTGAATATACATATGCAAACAATTCTTACTAAAACACTAAACTGAATGTGTCCCTTAAGCAGATATTTTCATATAATTGCTTACACTACCAAAGGTTTGTATTATGAAAAACCTTAAACAATATATATATATGTAAATTTGATCTTTACAAAACATAATACGAACCTGCCCAGTTATGCCGGTTATCAAGGCAATTTTCCTGCAATCGCCACTTCCATTTTCTTGCCTCTTAGTTGGGTCGCTTGTTTGTTGTGAGCCACTTGCTTCAGCATTGGATGACATTTCGTTCAATCCACTGTATAGATAAGTAACTAACTAGAACCTATTTATAACTAAATTACTAACAGGGCCGAAACAAAATTGGCTGACTATGAAAAGAAGTTAAAGTAGCTTAATGGCATTCACGAAAATATATTGATAAGAAATTAGGTTGCCAGATTTGATTACATGATTTAAAATTTGAATTTAATTTATTATATAGTAAAAAAATATTGAAATTACCAATATATTTAAATAAAACTTCAAATAATGCATTTTTTTAATAAGAACAACAATTATGAATAACGTTATAAAATCCAAAGTAAGAAATCTTTGAATGTATAGATTTAACTGTATTTTACGAATAATTAAAATCATATGGTATGTACACTGATAATATTTCTTTGACAATATGTTTGAATTTGAAATTTATCATACAAATTTTTATTTTAAATTTTAATTTATATTAATGATTTTATTTAATTTCAAAAATCATCATTATATTTGCCAAATTGCCATATGATTGCAAATGTCAACGAGAAATCGATTCAAATGTCAAAATACGTGTCCATTTGCCTATAGGGATATTTATCTGATATTTTGTTATCTAAACCTAATCAATTAACAAATAAAGATATACCATTCATTAATTGAGACTGTAATTGTAACAAATACAGCCTTCTTTGTCAAGGGCAATCTTTGGATTTTTAGAGCAAGAACTTCCTCAGAACATTAAAAATGACTGAAATGTTGAAAACAGTTTTAAGTTATTTTCTTTCCGAGGAATGTATTGAAACGTACTTGGTTTTCCATGACTTCACCGATGGTAAGTTAATTTTTACAATTATAATTTGCTCTCGTTTATTTACAAAATGAATAATTTCTCGAATTCAGGTACATGTTTTAAATTACTGTTGAGCAAATGTCTTGGATATGCAATTATCGCTGGATCTATTTTAGTCAAGATACCGCAAGTTTTGAAATTGATCAAAAACAAATCTGGTGAGGGTATTAACTTGATAAGTGTACTTTTGGACCTCACAGCGATAACGTCGCATATGTCGTACAACTACGTTAAGGGTTATCCATTTAGTGCTTGGGGAGATAATACATTTCTGGCCCTGCAAACTGCTGCTATCGCTGCTTTAGTTCTTTTTTATGGTGGCTCTAAGGGATTATCCCTGATCTTCGGCATTTTCTATACGCTGGTAGTGTACGTACTCAATTGCGGCCTAACTCCAATCAATTTCTTGCTGGTAGCACAAGCATTTAATATACCTATACTACTTCTGGGTAAACTCTCACAGGCATGGACAAATTACAAGAATAGTTCAACAGGTCAGTTATCCGCAGCAACTGTTTTTTTGTTATTTGCTGGTTCGTTAGCCCGCATTTTTACCTCTACACAAGAGACTGGAGATGCTATGATAATTGCAACATTCTGTGCGTCCACATTTGCCAATGGCGTGATTGCTTCACAAATGGTATACTACTGGAACAAACCAGGAAAGAGTAAGAAAGCCAATATTGGAAAGACTTCAACGAAACCTATCTCTGCACCCAAAAAGGGTAAAAGCAAAAAAATTGACTAGATGGATAGTCGAAATCACCATTTTCAAAGCTAGGTATATTGTAAAGGTATTTTCTTGTTTAAAAGGAATTTTTTCATATACCTGTGTGGTGTTTATAAGTTATAACATAACAGAATAAATAATTACGACACCGAATGGCGTAGAAGAATTTGTGAATTCTTTAAATTATTGCGGTTACTGCATAAATAAATAATAACAAAAGAAATTATTCAGTGCAGTTTCAGTGTTGGTGTAAGTTATGGGTTAAGGGTTATTCGAATATTCTATGTATGTGGGTATGTGCTATTTGTCTATTATAATATTTTTAAGTAACAAAAGAAATGAGGAGTTAACGATTACTCTTTATTCCGTTTTCAAAATTAATAAATATCGTAGATTATCATATTTTTATTTACCGCTGTTAAAATATTCCTGTAATGCGGCTAATGCTCTATAACGATGGGAGATTTTATTTTTTTCCTCCTTTGGTAATTCTGCATAGGTTAAATCATAGCCTTTGGGTTTGAAAATTGGATCCCAACCAAAGTCGCGACAACCGCGTGGCTCAACTATACTACCTTCTGTTACCCCTTGGAAAATAATTGGTTCACTGTTCGCACTCTCAGCAAAACTAAGCGTACATATTGCTTTGGCATTTTTGTTATCCCATCCCGCTAACATACGATATAATCCTTCAGGCTGTAATTTCTCCAAAAACCATTTTATGTAAGGCCCTAGGAATATTATGCGTAGATATTTAAGTAGTTCAGGTGATTAATACATATTATATAAGTATATATACCTGGTAATCCTTCTAAGGCATCGAAACATAAGCACGTGTCCTCAACCAGTACTGGTCCATCGACTTGTCTTGCCGCTTCTTTACATTTCTTCTTAGCGATTTCATCAATTTCGCCTTGTAATTCGGGAAGATCTATTTTTCTGCTAACCACTTTGCGTGGAAACTTATCTCCCAATATCGCTACAAGTTCTTCCAGTTTTTTGGCGTTGCCAGTAACAAAAGTAATTGGTTTCGACATTTTGAATATCACTTTTGAAATGAAAATACAAACTTTTCTAATCGTTTTATATCACCATCTAAATCAGAATTAAGAAATGCCTGAAACCTCAAAAAACCACAAATGATAAACCGTTACAGAGGCGTAGCAAGAAAAAACTCCAGGGGGTTTTCATGTTTCTACTCAAACCCACCAAGTGATATTAAATTGATTGATAGAATTATGAATCAAATTGTATTTTACAGTTTTTTACATAACAGAAAATAGCAAATTAGGGATATTGCAAACGTAGAACCATTTATTTTAAATTAATACAACAAAAATAAATTTTTATGAATTACATATATATTAGATGTTTAGTTCAATTTAATGTCTTCTGACAAAATCACTACGAAGTTTCCAAATACGTATATTATTATATATACCTATGTATATATTGTAGCACAGGTTTATGCGCCCAGTTGTTTATATAAAATAGGTACATAGTCATCAAACTCAGCTTGATAGAAGTTGCCAGCGACCGGATCACCAAGATTATACTTTTTAGCAAAAGCAGCGATTTTGAAACCCCCGCGGTCATCGCCACTGTTATTTGGTAAACGTTTTTCATCGAATGTCAACTTGCCGCTCTGTTTGTAAACCAAGAAAACATAGCGATGTAAACCAGTTTTTGGTGGTGGACCCGAACCAATATAAGCCGATAAGACCTTTAGATAAAGCAAATAATATTGAATAAAGCAATTCTCTGTTTTTTGAATATTTTTATTTAGGCAATTTACCTCGCCTTTGGAAACATCACATCCAGGTATGTTGCCAACCAACCAATGATGCCATTCCCGATATATGGGATCGGTACGACTAGGTGCATCAGGATCTGTCAAGCACAGGGTATATAATGCACCTGGATCGGCCTTCCACGCGATGGTGGGTTGATCTTTTACTAAAGTTGGTGTTAAAACATTCCCTTGTTCTACAGAGGCACCACTTGTATAACAAACAGTTACTACTTCTTGTGGAACACACGAAATGACATCAGGGACCACGCAATGTTCCTCCATAGCTAATTTTGTTGATGAATATTTGCGTGTGCAATATTTTGTGATCGAATTTTCCAATTCAGGCACCAAATTATGACTTTTGACAGCCGCCGGTTGTAAGGTAAATGTCAAAAACGAACGCAGAATGACATTTTCTTGTTGCCGGCGAATGAGATGACGTAAAGACGGGGCAACAAATACCCTACCTTGATTGACTAAACGATTGAGCAACATTTCAAACGACTGAAAGAATTTATTCAGACTTTTGAGATGATTGAAAAAAGTTTATTTAAGAATGGAAAGAACAAGTGATAAATTGCATAAAAGAAAATACTGTAAAGTATAGCATAGAAAAATTGTCGCAATGACATTGGATGAGAGATGCCATATTTTTATTAACGAAGACTTGTCATATATATAAATACAGCTCTTCCAGATAAGAGACTGGAGATTTGCGACTCGACAGATTTCGTTTTTGTAGATTTTTACACTCAACTGATAAGTAGTTATTTGAATCTGAAATGATTTTTATACAAATAACAGTTTCTGTTAAACTATATTCTTTATTTATTTATAGGTTTATTATTTATTTGTTGCAATTAAAAAAAAAATTAGCAAATTGAAAATTCCGTGCCCGTAATTTATACAATAAAAATATTTTAACTCTCTAATTGAACAAATAGAGATGACCACCATATAATTTAATGAACTGGATATACAGGGATACGGACTTGAAGCATCTAGAGTTAAAAATTTAGAAAATTAAATTAAGTTTTATATTTTTCTTATTTTAACTTACTTTATTGGTTTTGTCGAAAATTGCCCGAGCACGTTCTTGATTCAAACGATAATTCACAAACTTATCAAACATATAACCATGCTTCATAGATTCCAACAAAATGCGATCTTCTCCGATATCCAATGCAATTTCATTTGAAGATATCTGTTGTGAAAATAATTTAATTATTACAATATACGGTATTTGTCAAACAAAATATTTTTTACGAAACTGCAATAATCAATTAGTCCTGAGTACACAATGAGATTTAGTACCACTTTCTGCTACTTACACATTTTGGCAGATAGAATTCCGCCTGTATTTCTTCAACCTTCTCTTTGGACAGTTTGGCACGTAACTTAAACTCCGGCACCGTGGATCCAGCTAGTGATATTGCCTCTTTAATCTGGGAGGAATTCTGCTTTAATTCTTCTGATTTCTGCTTTAGCACATTCACCTCATTTATATCAATCTCCTGTACCAATGGCACATTCTTCCCAACACTGCTTTTTTCAAGTTCATCCAATTTTCTTTTGTCCTCCTCTGTTGGTTGTTTATATGAGCTTAAAACGGTTTTCACATCTTTATTACGTACACGATGGCGCACCAGTGTGCCTATAAACTTTCTATTTTGTAGTATTATTGATTTCTCGACTTTTATTTGTATGTTATATTTATCGTTTAGAGCTTCGGCAATTAGCGCCAGGAAAAAGTCTTTAAATAGTAAAGATTTTTGAATTTTGACAAAGAAATTAGGATTAATCGCAATATCGCAAACATCTACTGAATTATTAGATTTATCCTTAGTTACACGCGGATCGGAAATACTCATGGGAATACGAAAAGAACTTGGTACTTCCGATTGCAAAATATCAGCCAATTGCTCTTCGGTAATGTCCTCCGGGGGCGGTATCTCTTCAGTTTGACAAACATTGATGAAAAATTTATCATTTGTATTCGTTTTAAAACTTTTAATGCAAATGCCTGAAATAAAAATAAATGTTAAATATTATAACCTTTATAATTAAAATATTATAAACGAATGTAAAGTTACGAAAGTACATGGCAAGAGTCTTGTAGATGTATTTTGTATATATCTACGTATTGTATATATACAAATACATGAATATTCAATTTTATGAGAGTGGAAACACAGACACATGGTGAATTTGCAAATTTGTTAAAATGGGTCACATCATATGTATATATTATTATGTTAGAACAGCGTAAGAGGTTAACGATCATAACGAAGCGAAAGTTTTCAGTTGAGTTAGTTTAAATACGTTAGCTATAGCAAAATTTAACAGCACACGTTTATGGTTATAATATCAAAAATAACTGGACTACAAAAATATTAATTAATATACTAGGTTAGAGAACATATTCTTATAATATATTAAAAATTAGCAGAATTTAATGTTTCATTTTAATTAATATTAACGAGATAAGTAAAAGGCGATTATATCTACTATTTAATTTCTAAATTAGATTTCTTTAATAGTTTCTTATACAAAAGATGCTTATGTCATATAAGACTGTTGGAAGATATACAAAGTTTGAGATAAATTATGCACGCTTGATTTGTCTGTGGCAGTGTGTTGTAGTAGAAATATGCTATGTTTCTTGATGTAAGTATTTATCAAACGGAGGTAGTTAAGGGGGATTGGGATTATTTCGTCTAAAAACAGGCATGTTTTTGTGAATTTTTTGTGACGACACAGTTGAAATCACTTTATGAAAACCAATGATATATTAATGTATGGCATTCGAAGAATGTTATGTAAAAAAAGAAATATTAGAAAATACGGCAATGGCAGCAGTTATTCGAACGTGTCGCGGAAAAAAGAGGGTGCCGTTATAACTTGGTGCTATATCATCTAAAAACGAAACATCAAGGTTCATTCGCTAGATAATAGTTTTTTCCAAGTAGCGCCAAGAGATATATAAACAATGGACATATAAATTTTTCATGTCTTTGAACACTGTGAAAGAAAGAAAAAACGCACTGTTTTACGGAAAAAATTAAAATTATTAACTGCGTAAATTTCGCGCTAATCGACTTGAAATATAGACACAACTTTCTTGAGATTATATGCATTAATTTAAGAGAAACATTAAAAAAAAAAATAAAAACCTACTCTCCTTTAAGAAATTTAACACGATGAAGCATTTATGTTCAAAGCTCGCAGATGTCAAACTTCCCTCTCTCAATGTGATTGTGGTAACGAACTCGACAATTTGTTCTATGTTTCAGATAAAAAATTTAGAGATCCAATACCATATTTGAAAAATTTATTATACAGTAGTAATAATAAAGATATTGATTTTATAACAACATAAGGCTGATATGGTAAATCACATACGTTGTCGCAAATTTCCCAAAATTATCAACTTGAAATTTTTATTTATGGTATTTCGATTAAAGTTATCATTAGAAGTTAGACAAACAATAAACATTTTCAAACTATCTGCAAGTTGGCATTATATTTAAAAAAGATTAAAAAAAAATAATAGATAAAAACAGGTGTATATATTCAACATTAAAAGATAGATACAAGTATTCTATGTTAAGATTTATTATCATGTTATCTTATGGGGGTAAGTTTTTCGTGCAACTAATTTAGACCTTGGTCAATAAACTATTGGCCTACTCTGCATACGTCACAATTTTGATGTTATTAATAAGTGGATGCATTGCTAGCTTAAATTCATAAATACTCTTCTGCCTAAAATTTCCTATCAAACTTTGCTTTCGATATAAAACTTAGACAATATTCTTTTTACACTCAAACCAATTGAATTTTGTTTTTGTTTGTTAATGAAAATGTTCGACAAATATGACACTAGGAAACACTATATTAACTGCTGATAAGAAACGTGAAGTGACTCACGTGGTGAATTTGAAACCGATCAATGAACTTGTTTTTATAACCGCAGTCAGAAAATTTTAACTGAATAACGTTCGTAATGAATAATTTTTTATAACTTTAATTCACTGACTGATAAGAAAATATTTTCCTAGATTTAAATATTAATATTTATATATTTAACAGGGCTTCGCTGGAGATTGACTGTAGAACTTAAGGACAATATTATGTGCATACATACATATATAAAAACGTATACATACATATGTATTTATCAAAAGTTATTTTGCGGCATTTATTTGTGTATATTTGAATTTGTCATGAAATTCAGGTTGTATCAGTCGTTATTAGCGTAACACAAGTAAATTATTGATCTCTATAGAAATCCTTCTGTAGCATAGTAATTTATTTTCAGGATCGTCCATTTGATCATTAAATGTGCTTGAAGAGCTATTGTAAACACCAAACGTATGCATCATACCTATTCAATATCTGCAATATTTAGTTAATCAAACTATGACTTTGCGCTTTTAAATTACATAAAATGGCAAAATCAGAAATACTCACACTAATACATACACATACAAATCCCAGCAGACAAATGGTGTAGTTCTCAGCAACGAAAAATATACATATGTGTATGCATGTACGGAATCGATAAAAAACGTCACACACTTTAAAATACATTAATTTCTATTTATTTTGTAATGACGCAGCATTTCAAAAATATTTTCGCTCCTTATGAATTTTGGTTGTATATAATTAGTTTCAATAAAAATTTGTTTATTTCATTACATAATGGAACTTTAGTTATTTGAATATCTGCTACTAGTGTAGTAGTAGGGTTAAGTGACAGTGGTAGCCTAAGTACTTCAAAAACAAAAAGTCCCGCAATTAACTTTTACAGTGACTTTTATATATGCATGTAGATATACAAAATACGTACACAAACAACTGGTGAAATACATGGGCGCTTATCTCTGTACTTCAACTTCTCTCAAGCACATATTTAGCTTTTGCTCACACTCTTTAGACAACTAAGAGCTGGTTGCGCTCCCAGCAACTGGTGGCCCAGCGCACATTTAGGCTATTTGGAGAGGCAATGATGGTTTATGGGGCATCTTTATAGTCTCTAGCTGTTAAATTCATACAAATGTATATGTGTATACACATTCCAACTAGCCATCAATAAATAACAAAAACATTGTTGTTGCTCGTAAATCCTAACAGAAACGCCACCGCCACCACACAAAAAGCTAGAAGCGTTGGGTAGTTCAACCAGTTGGTGCAAGGTGCTCGAACGCGACGGTACAAGACTCTTTTGAATTGTGGAAAAGTAAGTGAAAACGAAACGGTACGATCTTTTGAACTTCAAAAAAAAGGTAATGTGGAAGTGAAATTTTTGTATTTAATCGCTATTAGTGAATGTGTGTATATGTGTGCTGTTGTGTCAAACTCTGTGAATCGCATTTTTAACGTTTTGGTTTTTGGGTAAATTTTGTGTGAAGAGAAATATCACTAAAGATCGTGTTCAACCAAGCAAAGAGAGTCACGAACAAAAATTCGCATTATATACATAGTTTAGTCATATGGCCAAAATGAAATGGCAAAATAACGTTAAAAATCCCCGATGTGTAAATATATATGTATGTACATATGTATATATAACAAATGTATTTACTACGAATGTTGAGGTAATTGAAAAAAAAAAAACAACATCAAAATTCACCGGCAATAAGGATTTTGGATTTAATTGTACAATACTCAGTTGATATGACAGACAAAAACCTTAATTCACAACTCATTATAAAAATTCACTGGTTTATTTTAACACAAGTGGCTTGTTATGAAGTGGTAGTCACCTAATAAGGCTCTTTTTTATTGGGTTATAGGAAGTATTTTGCGAGCTCATTCATATGTGGGTACAAGTAAATTTTCGTTTTACATATTACATGTATACAAATGAATCAATCAAAACATATGTATTTACTATATAAGTACATACACGCTTATATACTTTTTATAATAATAATTTAATTGCCGACGTGCTGGTTGGCCTTGATGATAATTCTAAATTATAGATTTTTATTTTTGTTTGAAGTTATAGGTATTGTCTTAATATGCACTACCACAAACAAAATTGTTTGTTTTATTCTTCGCATTTGAAGTGAATAACGGAGAGTTTATTTTTGCATATGTGCACACAAGTGTAGTGTTTTGGTTTGGAGTGTACGATGCTTGAAGCAACTGTTATTATATTCACTGACCGGTATATACATATACGCAGTTACGTAAAGGTTTCACTGTATATGTGCATTATTCTTGAAATGTTAATAATTTTGAGGATCGCAATGTGACTGCTATAATTGAAAACCCGTTTACTTTATATACATATATGTTTTTATACCCTCAACAAAATCAAATCCTTGTTTGAAAAACGTTTTAATTTTGCAATTTGTAATAATAAAATAATTTTTTTAAATCGGATCACTATAGCATATCAATCAATATAATGTTTTTGTATAGATAACTTTTTTATTTGTGAAGCGTATTCTAGCTTCGGTGAAACGTTTCGATAGTTAACGTTTTTTCTTGTTAATGAATGCTGTCGTTTCTTTACTTAAAATAATTACCACATAGTAATCGCGAGGATTACATGCGAATAATTACCAAACAAATTCCAAATAAATATTCATATTATTTGATTTTGAGATTTATCAAAAAATTTTAAAAATATAAATTGTACACAAATTTTCAAATACTTTTTTTAATATCAAATTTTTTTTTAGAAAATCTCTTTTTGTTGTGCGATCTAACAAATACTTATCTTTATATAGAAAAAAAAAAAAAAATAACGTAAATTTAAAATAAACATACACCTCTTTACAACCTAAGCTGAGAAGAAATTATTATTATTTTTTATATATGTATATACGTATGTACATATGTATATATTATTATATGAATATCAAGCATACGAACTGAACATCCTTATCTGCGAGCTTTATGGTGGTTTTAATAACGATAAGATTCATCCAGTATGGATTTGCAGGAGAAGCAACCTTGCGACAAGCAATTGTTGACATGGGCATAATAAATTTATCAACAAAGAGCACCAAAAGTAAATAATTAATTGCTGTATGTCATAAAAATGAAATTAATTAATTACAAATTCGTTAATGTGTCAATTGCGGTCTTTCGCGTTGAACGCGCCAACAGCAACAAGTGTACAAGAAAAACTATAAACAAAATTACGCAATTTGGGCAGCCCGCGAAAAACATTGTATAAATAGCCTTCACATATACGATTGGGGATAAGAAAAACGTGGTTAATGGTATGGCATGCAAATTTTTTGCTGTATCACTATGAGTTTCGAAAAGCAAGAGCATGAAATGGGGATGCCTGCTGATAACTGTAAATACATATGTATGTATATATATTCATAGGTGAATTCTCACTTAATTATGAACAATTAAGGTGAATGAAAAAGATAAGCAAACTGCAACCTGGATAAGTGTCACAATGGTAAAGATTAAGTGAAACTAGTTTATACAAGTATGTACATATATGTATGTATGTGTTGTTAAATAATTCTTATGCATGTAAGACTATCGTAAATTTACTTTAAAATTATATTTAAACAATAAATCATATAGTCATAACATACAGTTGGCGTCGGGAGATGAAACATAAAGCTTCACATTTTCCACAAAGAACGTCGCTAAATGCATGTGTAAAACTAAATAAATAAACTGTTGTTGATATTGAGAGCTGTGCGCAAAGTGATGACCGAATGCATAAACAAAAAAAAGCTTATATCTATATAAATGCATATGTAGAAGTCCAACACTAATGTGGCATGAATATTTCATATTGTTACGAAATTAAAATGAGTGCTGATAAAATTATAATCAAATTTATAAGGACTCACATATGGTGTGTGTTCCAGACTAGCATATACCCCAAACAACACAAATGAATTTATGAAATAGCGAATGAAACCACATTGTTTTTCTGTAGTATACGTATGTATGTACAGAATTTTTGTAAACTTGAATACAGTTTAATTTCTCTAAACATGCTTTGTATTATACATATGTATTTGGCGAATTCATGCAAAAGGTTTTTTTTTACCGATACTTCAAAGTAGTGAGTATATAAGATAAGATTTCAAAGTTTGCAATATATAATATTATAGATATGCATAACAGTAATCTAAAGGCATTATGCATGTAGTTGTTGAAATTTTTAGATTACTTTCAAGTACTGGTTTTCTTTCTCTCATTGCCGGTTAAAGAGCTTAAGGGAAATAGGTTTTTGTTTTCTTACAAAGCAAATAATTAAACGATGCAGATTTCGTTGGTAGTATGCGAAACACATTAAGTATTTATTAACAAAGCGTGTCTGCTTATCTCTAAGAGCTAATCAACACTGTATTTTATACGCATAAATACGTATATTCATGTGTAAGAATAAATGCAGAATAATAGCAAAAAATGTAATTGATTAAAATACGCATACGAAAAGCAGTGTTATACATATATGTATGAGTATATACGCATGCAGTGAACTTAAAAATAAAATTGAATGGGTTTGACGGTGTACTAACTAGCTAACTTGCAGATTCTGCGATTCACTAAGATTTTTTCAAAATTACTTTGGATATGCATTGGATAATAACATTAAATAGGCACAGATATTTGATACATATACATACATTTGTACATACATACATTATTAGTTGTGTGTATGCCAATGCGTGAAAACAAATTTACTTGAAGTGTGCTTATTTAAAGTCTTGAATTTCAAAGCCGTATATTTTGCCAGTTGGGTGCATTTGTTTGTATACGACCAGCATGGACACGTGAATTATATATTTATTTATAATTTAAGCAGCTTTGTTAGTGTTTACGTTTATCGCTTGGATTAATTGTAAAATTATGTTCGTTCAAAAATCACATCATACAAATGAAAGTTAAGTAAGCTAGAATTTTTAAAAACTATTTCAATTCATTCTTTTATAGCATTCCTTAATCTCGCATTATCGAAAAAAATGCGATATTACTCTCACACAAATTCTTATTAACTTACATACTTATGCATCCATTGTTTTCTTTGTGGTCATTGTAATAATATTAAGAGTGTATTTTTGAAGCGATTTTCAGCCCATTTTCTTTTGTTTGCTTTGCTATGTACTAATAACCAAGAGAACTAGTAATTTGTTCTTTCTAAACAGGAGACAACATAACTGATAGAAAATACCTGCTTTTACAAAAAACTATAACGTAGTGCTTTTGTATTGAAAGTAGTAGTATTGAATGATAAAGAATATCAATATTTGACTTTCAATTCTAATAAATTGAAATACGAAGTCCCTCGATGTTAAATGTCAATTAATGTTTCACTTTAAAGG